GTCTTTCTACGACAGACCAACAGACCACTAGTGCCCCTGTCGGTCAACCAATCACGTACCGCGGTACCCAGCGTCATCTTGCGTCATGATACGCGACACCGCAGCCAATTACCTGCGGTACATGTCTGTACCGCGCACTTTGAATGGCTGCATCTGTATGTGTCTTTTGTATTTTTCCATGCTTCCAAAGTTGTGCAGTCTAGATTTGATTGGCAATTTGAAATTTTCCCTTTCCCGATGGCCTTTGAAGGACTGGCGTCCAAACCATTTGAGGAGCACTTGTGTGCTCTTAGTCCCTTCTTGAACCCTATGCTTTCAGAATAGGCTCTGGCTTTTTGCAATGTTCACCAGGATAAGTGGCATGCTGATAATGGATTGTTGAATAGAACATTTCTATAGAAAATTTATTTAAATGTATTCACGTTTCTCCAAAACATTTTATAATTAACTTTTAATGGTAAATTTACATTTCAAACATCATAAGCAGTAACCCATTTATAATTCATGTCAGACATTGCCCTTTTCAGTGCTGGGCATGACATTCATAAATAGCCTCTTCAAGCACAGTGTTTCCCACCATATTTATAGTTTTTGTTTTAAAATGAGAAAAGCAAAAATATACCACACATTTACGATGGGATAGGAAAGATTGATAAGATTGATTAAAAAGCCTACTTATGGGGAAAAGGTTTATTTTGATACATAAGTACATTCTTTACACAGTGAGAGGAAGCAAAATAATACAGGAATATTTAGTTAAGTGAATGCAGGGATTGTTTTGTTGGCCTCATTTAAGTTATTATGTTCACATTTGGTTACCACATTAAGAAGACTTTGCTGTTGTGTAATAAGTCTAGAAAACAGCAATAAAATGCATTCACCCTAGACTGACAAGATAAAATAATGTTTTAGAAAAATGGGCCTGATGCAAAGATTCCAAATTCTTTTATATAATAAGGGGTATAAGTTGTACAATAACTTGTGGGAGTCTGGAACAGCCTACACAGCCCTGTTGTAAGACTGGATTCTTTCAAGAAATGGCTGAAAGATCTTTAAGTTAGCTACGCACCAAATGAGATAAGTGGTCACCTCTTCTTTGCAGACTTTGTTCTTACTCTTTACACGTTTATACATTTTTAAATCTTAAAACAGGTAAATTAAACTCAATGTGTAATTTAAACATTTTGGAACAATGTAAAATTAAATTTTGGACTTTCTGCTTTCCATTATGGAATTTTCTATCAGAACTGATATTGAAATGAGACAGACCCTTATCACCTCTAATTGAAACAGATATTCTGTTTTCTTAGCTGTGCTTAAAATCTGTGTTAGTGGCAGCAGCCTTTTATGAAATGTCACATAGCATAACAAAGGATATGGCAATTTCTAAAAGATGCTTGTATATCAAAGTCTCCTCAAAATTATTCATCATGGCAATGATCGTTTGCATCATGCATGCCTCAAAGATGAAATCTCATTACTTCTCATTTTTTTTCAATTCACCAATACTTAAGTTCTTTTTTACCTAGTTCTTATGACTTTCTGATATGAATTGAAGTCTTGGTCTGTCACTTTGAGGTACAGTATGTGTGAAACATCTAAGAACCATGAAATTGCACTAGAATACAGAACCACACAAAGTAAATCTGTTCTCTTTGAAGGAGGCCTTTAGCAATGTGAAACCAAATGCACTTGAAAATGAACTGCCTGAAGCAGCAAGACAAAATGTATAAATGACATGCTTTGGCAAGCACAAAGAAATGACACTAATGCCCAAGTTCAGATACATAGTAGCCATTATAAGGAGAAAGATATGAACTGAATAGCTATTTTGTCTTATTTTGTTATAATTGCTCTTTCTAGTACATCACTGACACAAAGACAGTTTTGTAAAGCTGTTCTGTGAATACTTCTCCAAATGTTGTATATTTCACCACACTCTAATTGTGTAAGATTCATAAACAGCAAATATTGAAATAATATGAAATACTCTTATTGTGTCCATTTGGTTTGAAACAGTAGAGGCAAAAAGTAAAGAAACACACAATAAAAAAGTCCTTAAGACAACTTTGTTTCCTACACATTGCAAATTTTAACAAAACTATTTGAAGTTATTTTTGTATGTATTTAAAGAATAGTTATTAAAATTGACTACAAACAAAAAATAATGTTTAATATTGTAATATTTAAATAATCAAGGCTCTTAAACTAAACTGCCTTGCTATAGTTATATACAGTATTTTTAACATACTTAAAATAGGTATTTAGGTTATAGTGACATATTTTAGTTAAATGTAAATACATTTTACATTGTGGTGTTAATCTGTATCGGTACTCTGTTGTAACACTTTAGAAAAATCTGCTCATTTAATGTTATGTTATTCAACCAATGTTGTGTTTAGATAAATGGTTCCCATTTACGGTTAGAAGACATGGGAGTTTCTAAGAAGTCAGTGACTTACTGTAAGCTGCCTTTAAGGCATTGGCATTTAAGTACTGTAGCACCAAAAGCCATACTTAGCATTTTAAATATCAGTTTTGTCTTTGTTTTTATTTCAATTTCTCGTACATTTTTAAGGAAGCAACATTTTTGTTTTTGTTTGGATTTAAATTACAGAGAGCTGTGAATGATGTAAATTCAGTAGGATAACTCTTATTTCTTACTATCTCACCTAATGAGAAACCTTAAAGGAATGTACTACAGCCTAGACTGATCTTGCTCAAAGCATGTAAAGGTACTGTACTGTATATGGATCCTCAAGTGTCCATTGGGTTAGGCAGATTACAGAATTGAGAATGAGATGCTCAATGTGATTGCAGCTGTTCTGCCTACCTGATTTCTGATTGGTATTTACTCAAGAGTATTTTGAGTTGTTTAAAAAATAATAATGGTTACAATTGAGAAAAGAACATCTGGTTATTTTTTTGGTAGTAGCTAATTGATCCAAGGAACCAGCTGGTTCTTGAGAGAAATCAGGAGATCAGCTCTAACATGGCTGAATAGCTTGTCCCGTAGTCTTACAACTCATAAATAACAGCCTCCTGTTTGTGCTTTTAAAAACACATACAATAGCTTCCACTTGTGTCCTTTAAATAAAATATACAGTGTTTTAAAATTCCCAGTTTATTCTGATAATCAAAATAAATTATTGTTCCCTACCTCCCAAGAGTTCCTTGAGAGAGCTTGAATGAGATCCTTGCAAAGTGTATTTATGAAGAATCATGCTCTTCTTAGTTCTTATGTTTAACGAGTGAACCATACTGTATTTGTCAGCACCATTTCTAATTCCTGCGATAGATTTCATTCTTTGGATGTCAGCCAAAAGAATAATAAATCCATGCATACTGTACATGAGTATTTAATATCTTGAGCTTAATATCAAAATTATGAAGAAGCTGCTTCATACTAACTGGTCTCCTTTGATTTGTGTTAAAAACTCTGAGATGAATGTTGCAGCTCTCTTACACATATGAAAGCCATCTGACATCAGCCTCCATATTCATTTCACTGGAATTTAGGCAGTCAATACTTTCTGTTAATACTGGAAGTCAGCAGACAACTGTTTCATGATATAAACAAGACTTTGAGGCTCAAGAAGGGCTTTAGCAGGTCAACAAAGAGATGACATGTATTGATGGAATTTAAAAAAGGCTTGTCTTGAGTACATCTTCATAGTTTTGCATGTTGATTTAACATGATTTAACATGCACTATCCAAACATTGATGTGGGTGTTTTTTTTCAGTACCATAAAGCTTTAACTTCATTTTTTTTTTCTTCCCTTAGATCATACCTCGGGACAATGAGACCAAATCTAGCCTGACATACAAATATATTGTACATGAGGACTCTTTATCTAATATCAGTAATAATGATGTAATCCAGGAAGATGCCTATGAATGGGCACTGAAGAGCTGGTCACAGTGCTCTCAACCCTGCGCTGGAGGTAATATGACTTCTCTACCTAGATATTCATGGTAGGGATCATGCCTATATCATTGCTACCCCAATCACATCCTCATATGATTAAATATGTTTTGGTTCTTGCATACATTCTAATCATTTTGGACTATTTATGAATATGTACAGTAAATATAGCTAAAGTCAGTAGGTGAGCTGTAGTGTATCTCAATGTCATGAACATTGTTCTCCAGCAGTGACTCACAAATGATACATATTTTTATTATTTAAAAAATTATCTTACTTGCATGGGAACATCTTTATTTTCCCTGACTTTCAGGAGACCACAAGATTCAACACAGGCAAAGAGATATTCTTATTAAAGAAAACTGCATGTGGAGAATAAGGAAGAAGAGACATTCTTTTCCAGCTCACCTACCCATGCAGCCATTCATCTTTTGACACACTGCAAGCAATCCAGGGCTTCTCTGGAAAGTTAGTCCTGACTGGAGGATCAATGCACCATACTAGCAACTCATTTTTTGTTCCACAGAACAGAAGTATTAATTATGCTGACAGTCTGCAACAGTGAAGAAAATACCCAAAATAATGAAGATTATCATTATCATTATCACTGCTGGAAGCAGTGTCTTTGTGTCAGAAATGAGAATTCCTTGAGATGAGGGTCACTGCTAGAAATTAAAGTTTGCAAAGCTGGTCGTTCTGTACTACAAGTTTTCTTGAAGTGTTTGGCTTCTGATATGACAAATGCATATTTATAATTGTGCACAAATCATCCAAAAACTGAGCTTCCTAATGTGAATGACCTACTCAGAAACACAAAATCTAAAATTAGTTTAAAGAAGCTTATGTTAAATGTTTCATGTGGTGGCGGAAGACTCTTTATTATCTGCACTGGAATATTTGAACCTTTGATACCACTCTTACCATAGTAATATTGGAAAACCGTTTATGGAACTACAAGGAAGTTTTTTTTAAGAGAGAGATATTATATTAATTTAAGCTTATTTGCACTCCTTTTATCTGTATTTTCCAATTATAAATTTTATGTTCTATGGATACTCTTCCAGATATTGCAATTAAGTTTGTTATCTGTTTAACATGTCAATGTACCAATTGTTTTTAATACAGGTTTTCAATACACTAAATATGGATGCCGGAAAAAGGGAGAGAGCAAGATGGTTCACCGCAATCACTGCGAAGCAAGTAAAAAGCCCAAACCAATTCGCAGGATGTGCAATCTCCAGGACTGCACTCAGCCACAGTGAGTATGAAGCTGCATCTTTTTATTAAGTGTTTTGTAGTCCCTTTAAACCCTGTAAAACAGATAGGCCTTCATCTGTTAGAATACTATGGAGATTTTTTACAACCTCCCAAGAATTATTGAATCATACAGTATATAGAAATGGCTTTATGATACACATTGAGAAGGATTTTATATGTAAGATGTTTTGGTAATTCACATTTATGTGATCATTGTTTTGTGTCAAATACTCTTTGAAATAGAGAACAACTTAAATATCTACAGTATATACCCTGTCATACACAGAAGTGACAGATTGATCTTTAAAGCCAGACACCGTTATGACTGCTGTATTGTTTGGTAGAGATTGTTCTCTAGGTCCTGAATTTTCAGTGCTTACTAATGTCAATAATATACTGAATAATTGGCTCTGTATTCTAGATTATTTAATCTTTGCAGTTTATGCTTCAGAAGACATACAGTAAGCATTAACACTCTGAGAGTTCCTCACATGGATGGATTTGGAGAACAGTGTTATTTTTTTGGGGTGGTAGGGATTTATATCATATTTGAAAAGCTATTTAGGCTTCTTTTCTTAGTCACATATAAAATTAAACTGCTTGATGTGCCATGTGTTTCAGATAAGAATTTAATGTAATGTATGCTAAGAAGTGTAGCATACAGTATTAGCTGTCTTCTGATTTGAAGACACTGGTTAGTTCCAGTGTTATTGTGGGTTACATACTATCAAAACCTAACAATGGTAAAATTGGACACATTATGATTTTAGTCATGAGGTAAGCAATCCCTGTAAAATTTCTGAAATATAGCTCAATGTACTGTTATTCTTTGAAATATAACTGAATCTGTTGTTACCTTTAATCTTGGTTACCTTCTAATGTGTCAATCCACTCAAAGATTGTCACTATTTTAAGAGTACCCAACATACAGTACAGTACATGCAGTTTTATCATTTTTTTTATTTGGTATCTCAGCCTTTTTAAATTTTATTTTCCTCCAGTTTTTGAAATTGTTAATAAATTGTTTTACCAACACTGTCAAACTATTTGCATCATTTCACACAGCACCAATTATAGTGAAATATATGATACAAAACTGATGAAAGCTTTTAGTTAAGCACTCGAGGTCTACAGGTGCCTGAAAGCCAGTAGACTCACAGATGCTTGACAAGCAGAGGTTATTCTGAGGATGTATGAATCCAACTTATCCTGGCCACACTAGCAGTTTTTTCAAAGCCCCTTGGGGAATCCTTTTCATAGCCTGTCATTTATTGTTGACGCCCTGATTCAATCCAGTGATTTCTACATTGCTTTAGTCAGTTGAAAGCTTGGGTGATACAAGTTTTAACCAGACTTTGTTTGCTTAGGTGTGAGAGCTTTACAGCTTCCCAGATTTCTCAATTTAGATTTATTTTTAATTCCCAACAGAACCAATGGTGTGATTGTACAGTACTGTATATGCTGTATATTTTTTAGTTAACAGCTATAAAAAGTAAAATGTAAACTGAATCTTCAGATTTGTATTCCATTAACAGATACAAATTATTTTTTGTTTTGTTTTAATGAAAACCTTCAGGTTATTTTCAATTAAATAATTCACATTTTTAGCATTGTTGTGTTTATAAAGGCTTCAACTTTAAAAATATTTGAAATGTATCAGTTTATGGTGATTCATGTCAAACTCATAACAAACTAATTGGGTAAGGTTCGGTAATTAAACTAGCATTGCAGTTGTGACACTTCCAAGTAAATATACTTATATGGGTGTTATTTTGACTGAAAATTAGTGAATACTCTTCAATTAATCACTAATGACATTTTGAAGTTAAATTAATCTGGTTGATGTATTTATTACATTCTAATTGCAAAGCTTCATTCTTTATTCTGGTCTACTACTCTCTTGTACAGTAAAGTAACTGGATATAAGATATACTGTATGTTCAATGGGAATGTGAGTAGTCGAACACATACTGTATGTCCATGCAACCCAGGTTATTGATTCAGTTTTGAATTATTTGTCAACTAGAATTAGCAAAAGCTAAATTTGACTAGTCTGCAAAGTGTTCTTTGAAGGGAAAAGCAGTGTTATATCCCTCTCTAAATGTAAGAGGTGTTGAAGAAGAAATGACGGACCAGAGCCACAGTCTTTGATTTTGTAAATTACAATTGCCATTGCACATTCATTAAATCACGCTGGTGTTAATTGTGGAGGCAATGCAGACGTTTGCTAACTCCACCACCTACTCCTAAACATAGTTGTGCATTTTCCCAACTTTCCCAACAATACATAGCTAAATATAACCCAGGAGGAGTCATCAAACTGTATAGATGGCATGCACTATACAATTAACACACTGTGAAATGGCAATTGTAGTTTACAACAAACAAAGAAAAATTACAATCAGTATACTGTAACAAGACCAAGTCACCAAGTCTTCATGCTATATATACCTCATGCTATATACTGAGATATTATCATTATTGTTGTATTTTACACTTATTTGACAGCTAACAAAAAAAAATCAAATTTACAAATTTCTAAAATAATTACAAGGATAAGAAATTATTCCCATAAGAATTTTTTTTTGTCTTTTTTCTTCTTTCTTCTGAGGAAATCTAGGCTAAAGATTTCAAAAGAATCAGATTGATATTGATATTGAGATCAGGGAAAGAAAAGGTTTGAGTAAAGGCATTGCCTTTGCCAGGGAAAGAAAAGGTTTGAGTAAAGTGTGACATTAATCAGTTTTAAGACAAATCACATGAACTCATTATTTTCCAGTATGTGATAACAATGTATTATTCATAATAATAGTATGTTTATATACAGTACATGAATTATTAAAATATAAGTAGTTTAACCTTGACCCTCTCTTCTAAAATTATAAAGGCAAATCTAGCAAAATATGTTATCGTATTGTAATTTAATAATACCATGAACTGGACGTTTTAATTAGTTTTCAGCTTTGCATGCAGCATGACATCTCTGATCCTTTGATCATATACGCCAGCTTATAGTAATATGCCTGGCCAACAGTATTCCAGAGGGAACGGTAACAACTACTACTAAAAAGAGGGGTCTGAAGGGATGGTTCTTACTTAACTGTGATTTAAGAAAGCTTAAAAGATTCTAACACATCAGTAAGTGAGACTGGAACACAATGGCCTTGATTGAAATGAAATATGAATATATTGGAGCCAATATATATTATAGATATGGAAAATAGTAAATTGAATCAAACTGCAAATAGGATTGTTAACTGCCAAAACCATTTCTCAAAGATTGCCATTCTGGATGCATAGTTAGTGTAATATTACATATATCAACGTAGTTTCTAGTTTCTACAAAAGGCTCAGATCTAGAGTTTTGACACAAACATGGAGTTCAGTGGAGATTTAGGTTAAACAACTGACTTTTATATACAGTATAATGTTCCACACCTTTATGTACAGTACAAGAAATGTGTGTGTTCTGAAATACTGTGTTTCCCAGCAGATTTGAGAAATATGATTTGCAGTGAAAGGAGCTTAGAGATGCAGTGGGATGAAAACCAAATTTACAGCCATACCTGGAATACATTGACAATAATGAATGAGAGGGTTAATAAAAAGAGGGGTAGAACCACAATCGTATATAGTGTGAAGCTTAAACTTGGTTTAAATATGTACTTTGTGCTCATTTTAACATTTTATGTAACGTTTTATATCAATTTTGAAAGTTTTAAAGGTATTGGAAAACAAGCAGAGAAACAAAAAAAACAAGTAGATGACTAAATGTATTTACTGTTCCTGCATGTAAGTTTAGTCTGTTCGAAACAAATAGTGTGCTTTTAATGGATTTCCAGTATAATATTAAAAGACTTCGGAATACGAAGATAAAATATAATAATCTAAAGAATGTGTGCATTTACTGAAGTTAACTAAGAAAATTTCTGCTCATTTGTTTTATACATAATAATTTGCTTTTTTTTCTTTGTGAGTGTTTTTAGATTTACATTTCCAGAAAAAAACTCCAATTGGCATTTTCTCCCTACAAATCTCACTACAAATTAAACCTTCTGTTATCCAGGATTAATGTTATTTAACAGATTATATTCTCACTACAAAGCATATGGAAAGTTTGAATATACTGTAGCCTTACACCACTGATGTGTTTTGAATTAATTATATTCCACTCTTCCTTGTACAAATGTAGTGTTTTGTGCTTAGTTTGGAATTCATAAATGAAATATGCTGCTCATGCACATCCAGATACTCTTTTTGCCTACATTTTATTTTGGATTCTTTGAATCTGTTGTTATTAAATCCTGACTTTTTATTTAATGATTCAGAAAAGGGAAGAACTGATAATAAAGTTCTGTGTGTAGAATGAACTAGATGATAAAATACTTAAACATTTAAATGATGAATATTTATAATAAAAAATAAAACCTAGGAATTTGCATTGGGTTTCAAACAGAAGTACTAAATTTATCATGTTATATAAAGTAGGACAACAGCAACAACACAAAATAGAAAATATACATAATAACAGTTATAAATTAAAATGTAAATGGATAAGTTAAAAGGTTGTTTTTTATCCCTTTTGACTTATAATATATTTGGCTTATTTATTCAATGTGATTTGTGGTACATTCATAGGCAAGCATTCATGCCCTTTGTTTGGAACATCGTTATTCCCTAATTTGATTAGTTTATTTGGTTATTAAACTGTACTTATGTAATTTCAAAGCTTGATAAACAATTATCCCTCCTGTCAGCTTGCAGTAAAAATTCCAGGTGAGCAAAATAGTGTAGAAATAATTATCTCTGCAACTCTTATGTGTGGTTGCACAAGGTTGGTTTGAAAGCCCAGAATAGAAGGAGTCTTCAGGGACCATTTGTTTTGCAGCTGATTATAGCCCGTATTGAGCATAATCATGCAGATGAACTTAGTGGCTGTAGCCTCGGTGGTTTTATTTCTTATTTGTGGTGTCTTCTCATGTACACAGCAATGGATGCTGGAAATAAAGTACTATTGTATCATCACATTTCTGATGCTTGAGGGAACACTTATCCAAAGGAAATTTCCAAGCTTATGATGAAAGACCTCCCCAGGGACAGAAATGTAATCAGGGCAAAAATTAGTACACTCAAAATTAACATAGCTTTGGTTTATCATAAAATAAAATTGCAATAGTGTTATTTTCTTAAGTGTTGTTTTTTTACCATTGCTCGTTTTCAACCATCTGCAATACAGCTGAGAGTGTATACTGTACATGTCTTTCAGAATCAAAAAGCTAAGAATGGTCAGGTGCTTTGTAATATAAATATATAATTTTTAAATACAGATGGAAAGCAGAAGAATGGGAACACTGCACTAAAACCTGTGGAAACTCAGGTTACCATATCCGAACCGTGCGCTGTATACAGCCTCTTCACGATGGGAATAATCGCTCTGTTCACAGTAAATACTGTGCTGCAGAAAAGCCTGAAAGCCGAAAACCTTGCAACAGAGTTCCGTGCCCTGGACAGTGGAAGACTGGATCTTGGTCAGAGGTTAGATTGCTTACAGTATTTGCAGAAGATGATTATGAAGCTTCATTTAATATAAATATAGCCACACAGCTTTATATGGTCTTAAAGACATAAGGGTATTATTTGTATTTTATCTTGATGGGGGTTACTATCAAAATATTACATTTTTTGGCATTAGATCATGTATCTTTCTACATCTGTTGAAACTATCCTTATGGTACTTGGCATTATTTTCTGTTCGTGATGTTATGAAACGGCTTACCCACATTACTGATTTATTTTTTCTTACGTCTTAATAGCCCAAAAACAACTGAATGAACTGGTGATGTAAAATAGATTTATTAAACCCTGTTAAGTGATAAAGATTTATAAATGTTTTTTATTGGCCATGTAGAAATGGTGCCTAGATTATCATTTAATGAAGCAGTTGTAATCATTAACTATATATCTATTTTGTGCAGAAGACGTAAAAGAAGATCAATCAGGGCTAGAAAAGGCTTTGTGCTTACAATAAGAGATGATGAATTTTGTGACTAAAATCAGTATTAAAATATAATCTGATAATATAATCATGTTGGAATTTTGTCACCAGTTTTCTGCAACAATTTTGATTTATCTGAGTAGAACAATTGGGTCCTCTGCATGAGAGACAAGACAAATTAGGTTAGATCCATTTTTCTAATCCTCGGGTGACATTGTTCGACCATGTATGACAAAGGGGGAAGATGAATGCTGTGCTTTTGTGCTTCTCAACAGTGCTCAGTAACCTGTGGAGGGGGAGTAGAACAAAGGCCGGTCACTTGCCGCGTTGGAGATCAGTGTGATGGAGAAAAACCTGAGACAACTAGACCATGCAAGCTTGCACCCTGCAATGGTAAGGATAGTCGTCTGTGAGAAAAGACTGTTTTCTGATACAATTCAGTTATGAGTTAGTAGTCAAAAGTGTTTGAGGTTGGTGTAGGTTCAATTACATTTTACTGAGTGTGTTGGTATAAAGTTATTCTCATTTTGGTCCTCCAATATACACTAATATCACAGTATCATAATATGACTTATGCTCACTATAGTTCATTATCTAGCACTAAATACAGTATAGTATAACCTTGGTATCAGAAGTAGAAATGTTCTTGTAGCTTCTTTCATGTTCAAGATACAAAGAATAATTTCATAACTTGAAATGAAACAAATCATGCATAATTGTATGTTTTGTTTTTCTTGCAGGTGAACCTTGTACTGGAGACAAGTCTATATTTTGTCAGATGGAGGTGCTTGCCAGATACTGCTCTATCCCAGGCTACAACAAACTCTGCTGTGAAACCTGCAGCAAGCGCAGTGGCACTCTTGTCCCTTCTTTGCTGTCTGAAGCTACTGACACTGATCCAGAAAGCCGATTTGGTTCTGCCCGCACTTCTCGAATCACCACTACCTTATCTTCTGCTGAACAAAATCATTCCATTCCCCTCTCTGCTAGCAAACCCATACAAAACATTAGGGCACACACAAGAGCAGACCACACCGTGAAGGGTATTCATGCTGCCATTGAGCCAAAATCAGTTGATTCCCCATCAAAGACAGTTGCTCCAGCAAGCAGAAAGACTCATAGAACGGCTGCACGACATTTCGGCAAAGGTGCCAAACATTCACCTTTTCCGACAGCTAGTGCACTAGCAACTCCACATCACAGGGATGCAACAGTCCCTTTGCCCCTGGGGGCAGAGTCAAGCAAGTCAGACACAGTGGGGGAAAGAAGGTGGTCCAGAAAATCATTAGGTGTAGAGAGATGAAGTCAAGCTGATTCTAACCTGGACTCTGCGATTGCAGATAATGTAGCTATGTCTTGCATCTTTAACTTTAGATTAGTCATTTTACTGAAAAAGAAAAAAAAAGTGCTGGTTCACTTTTGTGTTGCTCCATTCCTCCAGCAGCTGTCAAGAACATGCAGTATTCCCACAGCAGTGTGTGGAAAAACACCGAAGATATCCTTTAGGAGTGAACCAACTGTTGCTTTAAACATTTGCACAGCAGCTAAAGCTATAAGAGGTGACACAGCGGTACAGATTAGGAAATGTTTCTAGTTATATAGATTTACAGAATCCATTTATTTTTTATTATTTTCTGTTTCTCTCAAAGTATATATTTGAACAACATTAGATATTTATAAGCATATGCAGCTGTTCTGTAAATAGTGTATATGCAAAATGTCAGTATTATGTTTTAAAAAGGCAAGCTGATCACTTTTTTTCTAAAAGTACATTTGTGGTGCCTACTATATACAGTATAATCGCCTTACCTACATTCCTTAACTAAAAATTTAGGGGAAAAATTACATTGTTTTGCAAACTGGTTTTCAATTTAAAAAAACTTTGGTGCAGTTTCTCTTTTTAATAAATTATATAACCTACATAAAGCTGCCAAAAATATGTTTTTAAGATACATATGCAATACCACTTACAATTATTTAATAATTCAAATGGTGCTGGCTTAAAATTAAATCTGTAATTTAAAAAATCTATTTTATTCAATGGTACTGTAATATTATGTTGCTAATGGTTAAACAGAATATGGAAAAGATTTAAAAGTCTCATAAGTATTGTAACAATACATTTAAAAGCAATATTCTGTAATGTTCTTGTTCCTGTACATTCCAAAAAAAACACATATGAGCTTGCAAGGGGATTTTTTAATAAGTGAAGCTGGACTTACAAGGGCTATTATGTAAAGAATATTGTATAAAATGTCCTTCATTTTGCCTGAAAAAGGTTGAGAGAGTTATTTATTTTAAAGGATATTATCACAACCACAATGCATTTGACTGCAATAGCTAAGATCTGTCTTTTTAAAGGTTTTCAGTTGTTTTCACAGTGCAACGATTCATACTCTCTTCTGTGTGTTGATGTATAGCTGTTGTATATAGGATTGAGGACTTAAAGTATTTATTAAATATTGATGTTCTAGTATCTCATGTAGTATATCTGATCAGAAACAATTCGAAACAATAACTAAATACTGTATTTGCCAACATTTCTAGAGAGTCTTAAGATTGTAACAAAATCATTCAAACAGAGCACACAATTAAACTAAATATCAACCACAGTTAGGAATAATAGGTAAATTTAACATTTGACAATGTTTTCAATAAACAACTAAGGATTTTGAATAGTTTACTAAAACTTACTAGCAGTTTGTATATGTCAAAGTTTCCCTGACTAAGCTGTAAATCACAGCAAATGTAGAGCTAAAATAATGTTGACACTAAACAAAGCTGTTTTCGTCACAGTGAAACGTAGCACTAAGTAAAATTAATTGTAGTATAATTTCAGATCTTCAACAGTAAAAAGAAAAGTTTTAAATTCAAATACGACTTCCCCATTTTAAAATTGGGCTAAGTAATGAAAGAAATCTCAATATGTAGTGTGTAGTTGCAGTTGTCAGCTAACAGTTTTGAAGCACATAGTGCTAAGCTACATTATTTTTGTTTTTTTGTTGTTTGTAATGTTACCTGTTGACTTGCTGCCTCTAAAGAATTGCTGCTATGTTTATGCAAGGCTTTCTATGGTCAAAGAGAAGCTATGGTCTAGTTTTTATAGAGTTTTATATTGACAATCCCTGAGCCTCAAACAGATATATAGGATAGATATACAGGTATTATATATCCTCAGCACTCCCCATGCATTAAAGTATGAATGCTATAATTCTTGTATTTCTTTTTATATCATGTCTTGCTTTCACTGTTTCCTTTTAGAGTTCATTTAATTGTACACTACTGATGCTGTTTGATGTATTGGGGAGCACATACAAATAAAGAATAAACTTTCTGTTCTGTCAACTTTTGCGTTTTCAATTACATCTATCAATGACTTGGGTGTCAGCAGTATCCAGACATATTTTATTTACCCATGAGCTACACCTCAGATTTATAAAACCGATATTATTAAAAAGGTGTGAACAATTACTTGTTGACTTCTATACTACAAAGTATCAGCCAGAAGAAAATACATACGAGAACAATTTATCAAGCTATCAAGACTAATATAATTAAATCTGAGCTTTATGTCTTCAAAAGAGCCCAGGCAAGATGAGATTTTTTGCTTTTATAGCAGGAGAGCATGGTGATCAATACTACTACAGTACCTCACAGTTTTCTGGTGTTACTGCTTTTCTGTCACCTTGAAGGAACATACTGTTCTGTACAGGTTAAGTTTGATTGGCTACTCTATTCCCAACAAAATTTGCATAGTCAAATTTTACCCTATAACCCTTATAAAAACCTTCTACTTACCTCTTAGAGTAATTCAAGATATAAGTATAAAAACAAAAAAGTAAATAAGTTTAAAAGTAAATAAGATGACTATAAAGGCTCACTATATTTTTGAGAACAAAGCATTTTTGCAATATTTTATAAATATATATTTTCCAGAGCCAACTGCATAAGTGGTGAGCACGTAAGTTGTGAGTTGACAGTGTATTCTAAATGCATATTAATTTCTTAATCTAGCAACATTCTATGTTTAGGTTGTAAAATACCTATTTTAGAATGCTTATAGCTTTAAAGAAGGAGTGTTGTTGAATCTTGCTGCTGATAACCACAGTGACCACTATTTAAAGCATCATAGCATAAGCTCAGACATAACATGTTAACAGACACTCTACCATATGAAAAATGGGTTGTTATTTTTATTTTACATTGACCACTTTCAGCTCTGAAATCACTTGTAATCAGTGATACTCTGTATCAGGAAACATAAGAAACAAAAGAGAGGAGGCCATTCAGCTGCATCTGACTCATTTGGTAACTAGAAGCTCATTCATCCTGTGATCTCACTGAACTGTTTCTTGAAGAAAGTCGGGATACCAGTTTCAACGTAACTGAGCAGTTTGTTACATACATCTCCAGTAAATCACCACTATTCCACCTCACAAAACTCTTTCTGTTAATTGATATGTCTGGGATTCCTTGTGTGAACGGCTGTCTTCGGGTCATGCCACAGCATCTCAATTGGGGTGAGGTATGGACTCTGACTTGGCCATTCCAGAACACACATTTTCTTCTGTTTAGGCCACTGTTGTTGATTTACTCCTGTGTTTCTGGTCATTGCCTTGTTCCATCACCCAGCTTCTGTTAAGCTTTGGGTGACAGACCACTACCCTGACATTTTCCTGTAAAATGTCTTGATACAATTTTGAATTCATTGTTCCCTCTATGATAGTAAGCTGCCCAGGCCCTGAGGCAGCAAAGCAGCCCCAAACCATAATGCTCCCTCCACAATGCTTTATAGTTGGGATGAGGTTTTGGTGTTGGTGTGTTGTACTTTTTTTCTTCCAATCATAGCGTTGCGTGATTCTGCCAAGGAATTCAACTTTTGTCTCATCTGTCCATAGAACATTGTCCCAGAAGCATTGTGGAATATCCAGGTGGTCTTTTGCAAACTTCAGACATGCACCACATTTTTTTTGGAGAGCAGTGGATTCCTCTGTGGTGTCCTTCCATTGACACCATTCTTGTTCAGTGTTTTTCTTATAGTTTACACATTAACAGGGATTTCTGCAGGTCCTTTGCTGTTACCCTAGGGTTCTTTTTCACCTCCTTCAGCATTACACACTGCACTCTTGCCATGATCTTTGCAGGATGCCCACTTCTCAAGAGAGTATCAACAGTACTGAATTTTCTCTATTTGTAGACAATTTGTCTTACTGTGGATTGATGAGCACCCAGGCCTTTAGAAATGCTTTTGTAGCCTTTTCCAGCTTCATGCATCTCTACAATTCTTCAATGTCCTATGATATTTCTTTTGATCAGGGTGTGGTTCACAAGATCTGCTCTTTCTGAGAAGAGCTGACTCTGTCAGTAACCAACCTTTGTTTGCCTTTTTTATTCAGTAGGTGTCACACAATGGCCTGAGGAAGGCCAAAGTAGGTCCATTTTATAAAAGAATGGCTCCACCACCAAGCACTTAAGTGAAATAAGTGCAGTTTATTTACACTGCTCCCAGTCCCCCACCCAAGAACCCCCTTAAAAAGGAACATGAATACTCTGCCAAATAAAGACAAATCTACCTTTTTCTTATTGCCTTCTCTCTGAACCAACTCGCCGACTCGCCGACTCGCCTTATAGCATGTAAGCCCCTCCCCCCTCCGGAACAAACCATTTCTCCTTTTCATAATAATAATTTAGCAAATTCTACATTCAATATTCATTCATTCATTTTTTACCAAAGAACATCATCAAATATCTTAATAACACAGTTATTTTTATCCCTGTTCAAATAAACAATGCGACAAATAAACAATACAAACAATGACATTTACCCCTCTTTCCATGCATGTGGTTTTAATCATCTCCATAAATAAACCTTTAGAAGCCAGGTCAAGTTTGGTCTACTGAGGCCACCATAGGCTGACCCACCCTGGAAGTACCAATATCAACCAAACAGTGAGTATCACTCAATTTGAGAGTGTTCTCTGTTCACACCACATAAAATGCCACATGAATATTCACTCATATCTGTGTTTAAGTTTTATGTATGTATGAAGTAATAGCAGTTACTAATCACTAATCACGTAATAAAATTACTCAGCTAAAAAATTGAAGTTTGGGTATAATTCATTTTGATTTAATTTCAATGCCCTTTAACTTTTATGATAGAGAAGAGATAACACTTCTTTACATAAGGAGTTGTTGGGCCCTGGAAAAAGCTTACCAGACAGGTGGTTAAGGCCCAAGCTCTGAGCTCATTCAAGAAGTGTCTGTACACTTCTACAAAATTCAGGGGTTAACAACCTAGTAAACGGCTAGATGCAATGTGGTCTAAATGTTTTTTTTTCTGGATTGTAGCCTTTCTTAAGTTATTTCCTAAATGTATTACTGTTTACCGATAATGTATTATCAGTTTCCAATAGTGACCATAAAGTGTGTCCTTGTTTTGTTAGTGGGCTTGACATTTTCAGGGTTAACCATAATTATAGTTTAAAATAATATACTGTATATTTGGACCAAATATGTATTTTATGTATATACAGTAGCTCTTTTTATTCCAAAGAATTGGAATGATTTAAAGTGATTTACTGTACATCCATAGAGATGCCAGAAGCTCTACTACACAGCAGTTCAGGAAGAGAAATTGCTTCAATTGAATTAAGGCAAAACGTTAGGAAGACCAAATGGCACAAGCCCGAAGTGCAATTTCATCAAGATAACAGGGATAACATCCTAAATCTTTTAACTGTATTTATTGACCATAATGTATACTGTATTCAAGATCTCAATTTCACATCTCATTAGAAAGACAACTGATAAAACACAGCTTTAAATTTCATTTGCCGATGTCCTGATAGTTTATGACTATTTTGTTTTTTTGTAATTACCCTGGTGCTGGTAATTATCTAAAAATTTAA